AACTTGTTAATTGCCACCTCTTGGAGTTAAGTATCTGCTATATCATCACCACTACTTAATGTGAATGTTTGTATTGCGAACTGAACTTAATTTTAATTGATTTTAGGTCGTTCAATGGGCTCAAGAGCAGCTGCTTCTGTAATGTGTCATATTGAGCCAGATGACGCTGATGACTTTGTTCGAGGTCTCATTTGTATTTCTTATCCACTGCACCATCCGAAGCAGCAGCATAAACTTAGAGATGAAGACCTCTTTCGTATAAAAGATCCTGTATTGTTTGTGTCAGGGTCAGCAGATGAAATGTGTGAAAAGGTGAATTACAACTTGATGTTTATGTGAATGAGAGAGAAAGATGTTAGGCAGAAATATCCCGGGAGTAAGATACTACCTGCAACATTCATTCTCTTTTAACAATGCTCATTTGACTGATGCTTTTTGTGCCTTAGTTTACCCTGTTGTTTTAAAAAGAAAAAAAATTCAAAATATGATCATACTGACAAGATATCTCCTGGGAAGGAGAGTTGGTAACTGGATTAAACTCATCTGAAGCTTGTAATTTTGGGGGTTACTAGACTGTATGTTTATCATTTCAACATTCAAAGCAGATTCTTCAAATTCTTATAAAATTGACTCATGGAAAGAAGTAACTTGGACATAATACTAAATAGTAGCTTATTTCCCAAGCATATGATTTCATCAGGGAAAATATTTTTTAGAATCTTTTTGCTCTAGTTCACTTGTGTCATCAGTAGTGAATGCTGACCTGTTTCTGGGAGACGTGGACTCACTTGCGGACTTGCTTTGCAAAGTCCTTTGCCTCCGAAGTTGTTTCATGAGTATTTTGTGACAGGATGCCGGTATAGGTAGGGCGGGAAGGAATCTTTGCACTAGTCTAGCATCGTCTTCTTTTTTTCCCTTTAGAACTTGTTGGAGAAAGTGACACAGAAAATGCAAGCGCCTAATAAAATCCATTGGATTGAGAAGGCCAATCATTCCATGGCAGTGAAAGGACGGTCCACAAATGATGTTTTCAGAGAAATAAATACACAGATTCTGTTTTGGATTCAGGAAATCACTGAAATGGACAAGAAATAATTGTCTTTAGTTAAAAAGCCATGTTATTTTGAATACAAATACTGTTAATTTGATAAAGGACAGCACAACTCTCAGCGTTACGAGGTTACTTCAGACTAATTTAATGTTCTTTAATGTCCCCGTTTTTAAAAATGTTTCAATTGTGAAATTAATGTTCTTTACACGATGTCTTTTGAAAGCACTGTTATAGTTATATAAAGATGATGTACAAATATTGAAAGTGGTCTAAATATAATTTATTTTCATTAATATAGTTAAGTTTTGAAAAAATATTAAACATTTGAATTTTGTTACAACAGTACTTTGTCTTATTACTGTGCAACTGAGAAATTTTGCAGAATAAAAAACAATGCAGAATAGTAAATGTAGCCAATTTTATAGAAAGTACGCATCTGTTCCGCTTATCTTTCAATAGAATGAAGATAAATTTTCCAATACTAAAAACAAGGAACATTTTTTGAGAAATCTGCTTTTTGTCCATTTTTGCATCGTGGGTGTCATCCCCCTGGGCCTCCCCCCACCGCGTCACCCGTGTGCAGCGCCAGAGCCGTGTGCGCTTCCCGCCATTTTGACCTAGTACCTCTCTCCTCCCCTGTATTTTTCCGTAGTAAGAAGTAACTCTTCCCTGGCTTCCCTACTGCCCTCATGGCCTTGCAGACCATTTGGTAGGACCCTAGGAAGCAGATGGATTTTTGAGGTTTCTCGTCCTTCCCTAGGAGATTTTAATTTTTCTAAAATGCAGGAGGAACAAAAACCTGGGCAACAGGTTTTTGTTGTCTAATGTTTTCCTCAATTCAGTCATATTATAGGGTGAAGTTATTACCAAATGTAAGATCAAAGTTTGTGTAACACTCAGTGTATAATATTTTTTGACCAATTTTTTCAACCTAGATTTAAAAAACAGTATATCATCAATATGAAACAGTTGGAAGTTTAAAAAATTTGATACCGAAAGGTTGAAAATACCAGCTAACGTATAGTGCTGGTCTGACAAGTATAAATTGAGAAACACTGTAAACTTAGATGTGAAGCTAGTAGGAAAAAAGTATCCAAAGGATAGTTTCTTCTAAGACAGACCATAATATAGAAGTAAAGTGAAGTAGATTTAACTGGTCATTAACCAGGCTGTGTAGTTGTTATCAAGTCACAGAATTAAACTATAGGCATAGTATGGATGATCTTTCAAAGATACTGAGGGGGCTTAGGGGGATCCTGTCAAGGTCATTGAAAGTTGGTTTTCCCTTGAGTTTTCCATAAACTATTCCTGATTGTGGAACTGGCTTGTTACTTGTGAGGAAGATGAGTGATAGGTCTAAGTTGAAACATGTTTGTAAAAAGGTCCCATTTACTCTCTGCAGATTTGCCACAGCTTGCAGGGATTTTGTTTATAGAGCTATGCTTAGGTCTCTGTTGGGCCCAGTTAATGGCAGTTAACTCTCCGTTCTTAACTGGGCATTAACCTGCCCATTAAGGCATATTAGAGAACACTGGAAATAGGGTTGGTTGATTTGACTGGGTTGGATGGATGCTCCTGACAATCTCATAGGAACAAAACAAAAGGGCCACCACTAACATACTATCAAGCACAGAACAGCTAGAAGCATCACAAAACAACAGTGTCCAGGCTGAGAAATTACCCTATACAAACAAGCTTTGGCATTATCTTGAAATGCTTTCTCCCTCACCAATAGCTTGAATACCAGCAAACCCCCTCTTCCCCCCTACCCCCACACACAGCCCCTCTCCTTTCTAATTCATCTGCTCTTTTTCAAGAGTCAAATCCTTGGTTTTCAGTCTCTTCCAGTCTGATTCTATGCCCTCTTGCAGTTACTCTGCCTTCAGTCTAGTCAGGTCGATGCCTGTTGTCATCAGTGTAACTGAGGCGGTCTGATTGCTTTTACTTTGTTGTTCCTTTGATAAATCAATTGACACCTCCAACGGCCTCCAACAGAAAACCTGGTGCTGGATCTCCAAAGGTGTTAGGTCAATGTTCTTAGTTCATGGCTTGCCACATAAAACCTATCAACATTTTAACCTTATTATCTTCATTCTCAGCCTGTACACTGGTAGATAACAATGGATTTTTAAAAACCCTTAAGGAATTTTTTTTCTGAGTGTTCACTTACAGTGTCTGTATCACTGTCACTAATGAGCTTTCATCTGGTAATCATTGTCTTAATGATTTCTAAAAATAAGTTTCAGCATTTCCTTTCTATGCCACTCGATGCTGACATAAGAAAAGGTTTCTAGTGCAAAGGAAAGAAGCATCTGTGTAGAAAACGGTAGGTTACAAATAAGCATCACAAAGCCCTGAGGGAGGGCAGTGTGCCTCTGTGCAAACTTAAGCATAGCAAGGCTGTAAACAGACATCCTTTTCAGCTCTTAGGAGAGTTATTCAGGAGCATACTAACTAGCGATTCAGTGCCATAAAGCTCTGAGACAGCTAAGGAACCAGAGTAAGGGTTAAGACATTTAACCCCCATTAAGGTAGTCAACATTAAATGTATTTGAGGTGGCTTACCATTTAACAAGAGACATTAACTATTTTGCTAATTGCATTAAATTTTCTAGTAAGACCCAGCAAAATAAAGTCACCTTGATTATGTATGTAGATGGGAGAAGAGGTACCATCAGAAAGGAGAGCATTTTTTTACCCTAGAAAAATCCAAAGGAATTGCTCAAGTTTCTTCTGGAACTAATGAATGTCTGCCATGTATTCTGGAGGACTGTTGTTTGCAAAGACAAACCAAAAATTACATTTAAATATAAATATTGTAAATACCTGTATTCTATGGACCAGTAATAAGAGAACACCAAATCTTGGCCTAAACTTGTGACACATGGGCTGGAACTACTGTTCCATTGTAACAGATATTTCTTTCTTCAACCCACCCTGAATAAATAAAGATAAAGAAGCACTTTAATTATATCTTGAAAGGTATGTTAACCGCCTTGGTGTATAGTCCAGATTATTATGTATTAGCTGATTAAGCTCATAGACTATTTTCTAGACTCGGTAGACTGAGGGAAAGTGAGCTTTCTGGTTTGTCTCTGTGCCACCCTAATTCTGATATCAGAAGCATCCCAAGCTGCTGCTTAGAATTACCAGAGATGGGGTGGACAGAAAATTCACCAGGAGACCCTCGCAGAATCTAACTTTGGTATTCAGTATCAGCAGTAGACTTGAATAGGAACATTGCCAACAGACCTCTCGCAAAAAGAAATAGAAAACAAGGTGTTCTATTTTACAAGAAGAAAACTCAGACTGGACTCTGAGAGATGAGTTATCACATCCTACATAGTGACAGTGGGAAGTACACATCAAAGATGATATTAGCTGATATTCAGATTAGCCTGTGGTATCTAGTATCATTCTAAAATTTTACTATATTTTGTTTTTTGCAAGCCTGGCAAAAATAAAGCTGGCAACCCTACAGTCATGGTTCCCTGATCACAGAGAAACATAAAACAGACTATTCTTGGCACTAATGGAAAATGGTTATATCCAGTTCAAATTTGCTCTTTTTTTTTTTTTAATTGGAGGGCATTAATAGCAGTAAGAGATCTTTTTTAATAGAATTATTTCTTTTGGTGAAAACCGATTATCTTCAAATGTTCAATTAAAACATAGCAACAGATCTGTCTTACCAGTGAACTTCCATTATTGCTCAGGTAAGCTGGGATGAGCTCAGTTAAGCCTCCATTATGACATGCAACCTGCTTCACTTGGGCCAGAGCAGTCACTGCTGCACTTGGCGAGACACCACGGAAAGCACAGGAACTTGTTTCTGCCGGAGCTGTACAAGTGGTTATGAGCTGGGCATGCCAACAACCTCTTGTGTTTCAGGGCACCTGGAATCAGAGATTACAGAATAAGATCAATCTATTTCACACATTTCATAAACATGTCAAAACAATATTTTTTCTTTAAAAACTTGGTGAGGGGTGCACTGGACGATAACACATTTTTTACATTATGGGAGCTTCTAGAGTCCTGGATTTCTCAAAACAATTGGATGGCTATCTTCTTTATAATTTTTCTAGGAATTATTTTTGAGATTGCACTCATAAAGATTTATACGTCCTTTAAGAAGACACCTGCACTTTCAGAAGAGAGCTCAAATCCCGAAGAGGTAAGAACAATGGTCGATTTCCATTATTTTCCAAAGTCACACGTAAGAATAACTTATAAAATTGTAAGACTTGGTTATCTAGACCACTCCTCTAACATTTTGTCATGTCTCGAAACAGAGTGAAGACGGTGACCTACAAAATATGACATTTGGTATATACATAATTTCTGATTTTAATATAAAATTATTCGCCTGAACCTCTCTTATTGGTGCTCTAACATTGTTTATTCTCATTTTTCTCTAGATAATTATTCAAGTCACTCATCTTCAGAAGAAAGGTAAGTGATACTTTGAAGTGAAATAGGTTAGTTTTGTTTTATTCAAAATTGCAATTACATCTGACTTACAAAAAAGTGTTCGCATATAATTAAAAGCCAGAGGACTAATGGGAAAGAGGAAAACACAAGAAGAAATGGGGAGGAAAGGGGTTGTTAGCTTCAGAATTGCAGAGAACTCTGTTTGCCTGTCCCTTGTGCTATTATCCCGTCTCTCTTCAGTGGGATGGAATCCTCACTGTAGCTTTCGAGGCGGCATTAAAGAAAAGTAACTGAGAAGGTGTGGGGAGTGCAGTTGAGGAAAAAGGATTAGAAATGTGGTTCCTGTGATGGCAGCATATTGAAAAGACTCCAATTTTGAATTTGAGAAGTGAAAGTAATTTATTGGTGGACTGAATTATTAAGTGAATGGAAATAGGTCATGAATTGCTGTGTCACGCAGTACTCACTTTCCTGTTTATCTCTGAATTGAGCTATTTTCGTGTGTGATACGGGCTTCCTTAAATCGCAAAAAGTTCTTATATGAAATAGGTCTCATGGGTCCTATCTGAACAACTTTTATGTTTCAGAGTTGATCAGTTTTCAGGAAGAACGATAAGCTCATCCCTTTTGTCAGAAGAAAATGAAGGTAACTTTGAAAACACAGTTCCACTGGCTGAGGAAATGATGTGGGCAGGTACCTGTGACAGTAGATACCAAGTAAGTCACCTCAGTGAAAGCTACATGTCATCTTCAAATGGGAGTAACTCACCTTTGTTTCATTCAGAAATAAAGGAAGTTTTCGTAAGCCAGGGAGGGAGTTCAGGAAATGAAGAACAAACAGTACAATATTCATCAAAGAAATTATTTTCAATAATGAAAACCAACAAAAATAAAACGGTCATGTTCTCTTCTGACTTTAACTTTTCAAGAACTTCTAGAATCTCATCAGAAACTGAAGACCCGGACGTGGCGCCTTGCCCTCCTGCCCATTTATTCCTTTCTAGAGACCAAGTTAGACTTCTGGAAGAAAATGTGAGACAGCAAATTCCTTTGAAGTCTAAAGCTACATTAGAGAAAAAAGTTACTAATCTGTCCTCAAGATCTCAAGAGTCTTTGGTTCAGAATCATCATCCTGCTCAAATGAATATTTCTGCCCAAACACAAGATTCTCCAGGAGAAAATGTTAATCAGAATCAAAGCTTTTATGATGCCCAATTAATTTGTCAACCCCAACAATTTGTTTACAACCAACAAGTAATCAGTTGCCAGCATGATACAGAGGTCAGATCCTTTGCTCTGCCTCAAAATCTGGTAAGAAGACCACAGTCCAGCAGCACTCAAGAGTCCATCCATGCCCAAGTTGTAGACAGGAGTGAACATTTGGTCCAAGACCCATGTTCTGTTAAGACTCAAGATTCAGTCAAGAGCACAGAATCTGATAAACACTTTGATGAAGCCCAATGTTCTGTTAGGCGCAGAGATTCAGATAAGAAAGAAGAGTCACTCTGGAAGCAAAATAATGTTTTAAAGAATGCCAGACATCTAGATTTAACTCTGACTCCAAGTCCAGTCACTCACAGGATGCCGCAGCTAGAGAGGATGAAGACAAAGGTCCAGGAGCAAATTGCTTCATCAGATTCCAATCAGTATTCTGTATCTGACCCAACCCCCGTTTTGCCTGAAAGGCAGAAAATACAAAGAAAAATATCCCACAGTAAAAGTAAATTTAGTCCCAAAGTTCCATCTGAAAAGCCAAAGAAAGCAGCATCTTCACAAGCACATCAAAATACTGGATATCGTATGTCAAAGCACAGGAAGTTAGGATGCAATTATAACACAAAGAAAATGAAAGAATTATATCAAAGGAAAGAGACATCAGGTAAACCTTTGTCTCTTACTTGTGTTTCCAAGCTTTTTGTGCCTTATATTAAAAAGTATTCCAGAAAAAATCTAGTGGAAGTCATGTCAAGCTTAAACATATATACAGATTTTCTGCTGAAGCAAGATAAGTCACTAGATGCAGAAGTCGATAAAGCAGGTTCCATTGAGGAAAGAGGAGCTTCAAGTGATACTGAAAACATTAAGCAGCAGAGCAGGGACAATAAAGGACTAAAAACCACAGCACCAAAAATTTCACCTCAAGTAGAACAGTCTTTCACAGTCAACACTTTTCAACTGGAAGTATCTTGTTCTTCCTCAGTAGAAATAAACTGGAAGAATAAAGAGTCTCTAAAAGGCCCAGTTATACAAGGGAAGGGCATTGGTATTGCAGAGTTCTTCCAGGCCCTGAAAAGTAAAGGCACGTGTGACTTGTGTACTCCAAAGCATCAGACTCTGTTAGCAGAGACTGTATCAGAACCTATGCAGGACTTTGTTTCCTCTCCCAACATGAAATCAAACAGAAGCCTGAAAACAAAGGAGGAGCTAAGAAGTACAGAGGAGCCTCGTCCTCCGCTATCAGATACAGAGAAAGTGCCCACAAACCCACCAGAGAGGAGCTTCCCAAAGGGAAATACACACTGCAAAGCTCTGAGAATTGTTTTGGAATCTCCAGATGCCAATCTGCTCATTTCACTGGAAACCAAAAAGCATGACAGTAGCGAACGACCAGCTGGTATAGATATGCAAGAGGGGACAGGCGAGGTGATTTGGAAGAAAGAGACACCATTTAGTCTCCACATCACAGGCAGTAGTGACCTGAATGAAAGTGAGGGGCTAGAATACAGCAGAGCAAGTACGCGAGATGAAGTCTCCGGTGCTCCTCTCAGGACTGCCCACACAGCCACTTCTGGACCGCCTGACAGGGAAGTGCTGAGCCGACTAAGAGCCAAGACAGAAGCATCGAGCATTGTAGACGCCACTCTTTCAGCAGTAAGGCAAGAGGAGCTACCGGACGAAAAGATGGCAGAAAACACTGAAGAGAAATGTAGATCTAAAAAGCCACACAGACATGACAAAGAGGAAGAGGAACAAGCTTTACGAGAGGCTGCCCTAGAGCAGACAGAAGATTTCAGGTTCAGCCTGGAGCTAAAGCTGCAGAGCAAACCTGTCCAATTTGAAATAGAACAGATTAGCTCAGGAAAGAGGCAAACTCCAAGTGAAGAGTGGGCGGCTCAAACACAAACTGTTTCTACACAAACAATCTGGGAGACTAGTCCACGCCCCAGAGTGGGTCTCTGTCAGGCTGAGAAGCAAAGGGCAGACAGCCCGATGGACACAGAAGATGCAGGCCCACAGAATCCTCCACAACCAGAGGAACTGCCAGTGGGTGCAAGTTCAGTGCAAACATTTGGAAGCTGTGTTCCATCTAGCAACGACCCCAAAAAGATTCCAGGTCATATTGCAGAAGAAAAGCAAGACATAAGAGCTTCCCCTGTAGTGGCCTCTGGGTCTTGGGTCAGCCATGTGCTTCATTCATCATATTTGAAGAGCCAGGAAATCAGAAAGGTATTGTCAGGCACACACAGTGCATTCAGGCCCCAGTGTGTGGTTATGAAAGCAAAGGAGCCCACCCTTTTACTGACGGCTCCTAGCAGTAGACGTGGTATTTCAAGTTACAGAAAAAGATGCAGAAAATCCATCATTAAAAACCAGAAGCCACAAGACGAAACTGTGACAGATGTGCTTCTGAATGCCACGTATCCACACAGGTCTACTTCCCCTCACAGTAGATTGCCGAGCGGGGTAAACACAGAGAATCACAGTCTGACCAAGCTAACACATGAGAAATCACAAGTTGAAAGGGAAGAACAGTGTTCAGATTTCGTAATTAAAGGGGACGACGCTGGCTGTAGGTCAGACGCTAAACTACACGATGAAGTGAGAGGGGGCGAAACGGTTCCACCACAGACAGCCCCTTCTGCTCACCGGGACCCCCACATGGAGCTTCCAACAGAGAAGGAAATGCAGTGGCCAGGGCCAGCTGCGGAAGCCCCCGTGGCACCTCCATACTCCCCCGATCGGGAGCCAGCTCTCAGGGAGAAGGGGCGCCTGGAGACCCATGGGCGCTTCAGATGCGCTGCGGTCTCCAAGGTGACACCCTCACCAGGAGCGTCACGGGCAGGAAACGCTTTGAAACAGACAAGGGAACATGACGGTCCAGGTTATGAAAATGACCTGGGTCACTTCTTTGTAGAGAAAGATTTATCAGAAGATTCAGCAGCAGCTTCCCCGGGGACCTTCAGCTGCCACATTCCCATTCTATGTTATTCTAAAGGGAGGAAACACAGAGAAAGTTTCTCACACGGACAGTGTAAAGAGAGATCCAAGTCTGTACACGTGAAGACAGGGAAGCCGTCGATGCCACGAATACTCAGCATCACAGGTCATGGGAGGAAACTGGAATCCAACTTTAAGGCCAAGTGTGAAAAGATCATTCTAGCGGACAGGCTGGTACATGGCTTTCTCCACACCCTTTACTCTCCCGGGCCCGGCAGGCTGCAGAGAGACCGATTCGGCCACCCTCAGCTGCTACGAGGGGAGCTTGCAGTCAGTGAAAGGAGACCACCGTGTGCTGATGCCCCTGCTTATGTGCAAGATGCATTCAGTGACAGAGAAGAAAAAGTAAAAGATGGAAAGGAAAAAGAGCAAAATGCTGTCCCAGAAGCAGCTCCGCAGCGTGCTCGATCCCTCCAGCCCAGCGCGGACCAACGGGAGACCCACATGGGCCAGCCAGACCCGGCACGGCGCTGTCTGATGTGGGAGCCACCTGTCCGTGAGCAAGACGCACGGCGCGGAGCACGCTTTCCTGAAACTGCTGCGCATCCTGGCCTCTGGCCGGGCCCCAGCAAAGCCCAGGACATTGAGAAAACCGACAAAACAGGGAGTGGCCTGACAGCACATCTGGGTGCAGAGATTCTGCCTCCCAGATCAGGGACCGCATCATCTGATCAGCGTTTGAACACCGCGCCAGGGTGTGGCTCACCCCTGGGTGGGACCCCAGCAGAGGGATGTGATTCTTACTTTGTGGAAGCAAGTTCAGAGTTGCTGAAAGATTTGCAAGTGGCATTGCTGCAGTCTTCTCATTCTGCCAAAACGTATGTTTCTGAGCATAAAGGAAAGAGAAGCCCGTTAAAATTAGCAAGGCAGCCCGTGATGGCGAGTTGCAGCTATGGAACTAGGCGGGAAGAAAGGCTGCATGTTTCGCACACGCTCGGTGACAGGCAGAGCCAGGGACAGCAAAGGAGAAGGGAGATGGAACACACAGGGCAAGGCAGACATTCTGCAGATGTGTTCTCGGATAGCGCTCACGCCAAAGCGCCTCTTTTGGTCAACGGCAAAATGAGCCGTGGATTGGGTGGAGGGAGAGAGATGCAAAGGGTAACAAGGCTTGGCCACGCCCAGGAAATGAGAGAGCGGTCCCCAAAGGGAAGGCATGCAGGGTGCCCGCCCTCGGCTGAGTTGACCCGTTTATCTGTCAGTGTGAAAGAAGGGAAGGAAGTGGCCAGGGAACACGCAGGTCTGCCAGCCCCAGAGGCCAGCCAAGACTTCCTGTCCGATGCATGTCAAAAGGAGGATCAGGCCCCCACGGAATGGGAAGAGGAACTGAAACGATCAGGAAATACACACTCTCAGGTACAACCACAAACCCACCTGACACCAGCTATTTTGGGTTCTGCTTCAAGCCCTTTATTTTACCCATTTCAACAGCGAGAGCTAGAAGGCCCTGTCAGGTCTTCACCCTCAGAGCCAAGGGCAGCAAAGACAGGTGGAATCGCACCTCCTGCAGGCGAATGTGGCAGCCCATCTGGTACCCGGCATCAAAAGGAGCCACGGCCTGGTGGTGCCGCCCAGGAAGAGGCAGTGACTTTGGATTTCTACGAGGCTGTGTCGGCCACACCCAGAAGGAAGAGAAACTTCAAACAGTACTCAGATCTGAGAACTTTAGTCAGTTCCCCACAGGGAATGAGAAAAGCAAATAAACCCTCAGTGGTACGCATACTCAGTGCCAGGGAGGGTGCGAGCTCACACCGTGGCGAGGAACCAGGACGTGACCCTTCACCCAGCGTGGAAGAAATGGACCCAGGTAAAAAAATGGCAGCAAGCGTGTCCCCGATCATGGCTCGTGTGCCGGACAGCGGCACGTATGGCCACACAAGAAGAAAGAAAGACATGTCAGGAGCAGAAAGACTCATTTCTCAACGAGTGAAGCAAATGGCAACAGCCCTTGGAGGGACGGTTCCTGCAGATGAAACCAAAGAAGCCAGTCATCCAGATGAAGAGGAAGAAGGTGAGCTGGAGTCATTCCTGAGAGACATTCCCCAGCACAGCCAGCACTTCATATTCTGCTCGGGCCAGACGAAGGAGTTTGAGCCCCGCGAGTCAGCAGACGAAGGACGGACCGCCCCACAGCTGCAGGCGCAGGCAGAAGGGCCGAAACCTGACCACCAGACACACGTTGATGCCTTGTGTGCAGCGAGGTCACAGCTTCAGCTCTTAAAGTCCAAAGAATCACTGGCTGGTCAAGTTTTAATTGCTACGTTGAAATATGGCCTCGGGAGGGATGGGAGCCGTGAGGGGACAGTGGACAGGGATGGCAACGGGGACAGGGCAGGGGCTCAGAAAGGCCAGCAAGCAGCTGTCCTGGAGTCTGCTGATGTCCCCACCTCTGCCCTCCCTGCACCTGACAGACCGAGAAAGGTGTTCATACTAAGAGCCTTAAGACGCAAAGCGAATTCCAGAGGCGTGGTTCTGAAGGCGAGGAAGGCACCAGTGTCACAGACACTTCGCATCTCAGGGAATGCTTGTCCAAAACACCTGCCTCCAAAGATCCTGAAATCACATATTTCTGGCTCTTTAGTTCACAGGAGATACTCGGGGGTACCGGAAGGGAAAGGATTAGCACAAGGATTGCTCACTTCAGTTCTGGAGTCTTGGGATTTATCCACACCCACGTTACCTGTATCGAAAAGAAAGAGAAACAGTTTCAAACGTAGCAATAAAATGAGCCCCACCTGTGTCACACGGACACTCAAGATCACGAGACCGGGCGCAGCACACCACAGGCAGCAGTTCGAACACAACCTCAACAGCATGCTGAAACATGGCCAGTCTGTGGCCGATGTAATCCTAAATGCCATTTCCTCGATCATCGCTGCGTCCCCTGACATGCACCACAGGACCGAAGTCGAGGCCGACTCGCTGGGGGAGATGGGAGTGCTCCAGCAAGCGCACCCAGTAGGTGGGGCGAGGGCAGAGGCCAGAGAGCGCGCCAGGGCGTCCAGCAGGCATCTGGACGGGGAAGCATCTGGGCAAGAGTCTCAGCACTTGCGTTTGGACCTCCGTAGAGTGAAGGCGCCTGGCTCGGTGATGTCAGATCTAGAACTGGAGAATCCAGTCGGGAAGCACAGTCTGGAGTCACCCGGGGCAGCTCAGGAGCCGCCAGGGCAAGCCCCGAGCACGCCAGGTGTCGTTCACTATGGCTGGCGCTGTAAAAGCACAGCTGATGCATTTTCGTCTCCCACATATGTGGCACGTGACACCAAAATAGATAGTGAGGTGCAGAGTTCACTGAAAACAGAAGTGGAGAAGCCAAGAGCCAACACACACAGCCAGACCCCTCCAGAGCTGGAGAGACCAGCCTGCGCGTGGGGAGCACGCAAAGCCGGTCCCACTGATACACAGACTACGCCGAGCAACACGACGCACAGGAAGGAGCCACGCGAGAAGGAAGAGGACGACGCCCTGACCACGTCGCCAGCGCCAGGGCCACACACCAGCCAGCACCCCGGCGCCCGTCCCCTCTGTGTGGCAGATCTCGGCCCTTACAGCTTGGAAGGCAGAGGGACTTGGAATTTGTCTTGCATGGTACGAAAGCTGAATCAAGAAAAGCACATTTGCGAAACCATCTGGAAGCCCGTTTCTAGACACGTGCTGCATGTTCTTCAAGTCAAAACAGCGAAGGAAAGGCCTCAAACTCAGGAGGGAGAAGGAGGCAGGGCCCAGCCAAGGGCGCCACCTCCAGACGCTGGGACATCAGGGGCGGGGCCGGCGCAGGGCCAGAGTCCTCAGGACAGAGACCCGAGGAGGGCACGGCAGGGTCCTGCCGCCGAGCAGATGGCTTGGAACCAAAATTATTTGCTAAGAATGGCCTTTAGGGCTTTCGGTTCATCTGAGCTCAAGAGTCAGGACGACGCGCGAGGACGTGCAGGCAGGAAAGGCCTGAGTCCGAGTCCCGGGCGTGGGCCTTGGCCAGCAGGGGACCTTCCCACTCCGCGGCTGCTTCTGACCAGCAGGGCTCGTCCCGGGAGCCACGGGAAGAGGCAGCGGCACCCACTGAAGAGGAAGGCGCGGCAGCGGCAGGGGCACGTGGGGGCGTTCTTGCTCTGGAACATGGGGGGCGCTCGGGTCCTGACAGCGGCATCGGTGACTGACAGACGCTTGTTGGCTGCAGTGGCGCAGGGCAACTCACACCACAGAGCAGGTGGCGAATATCCAGGTGGTCTCACGACAGAGGAAAAGACAGAGGTAGGGGGCACCTTGGCCACGACTTGCTTGGGGCCTTCAGGTCTCTGCATGCCTAGTTTATCTGATTCCAAAAGCCAGCAAGACACAGGACAGCTGCCAGGAAAGAAGATCCTATTGGCTTCCACATGTCTAACTGTTGAGAAAAAGCCACCAACTTCACATGTATTTAAGGTGGAGCAGCGGTTCCCCACAAAATGCAGGGAGAAACACAGGTGCAATTTGAAAATCAAAATGAAAGAGACGCAGCCGAGTCGCAACGTGGCGGAGACAGTTTCCTCGGCGCGGGAAGCGGCTGATCCCCAGAGGCAGAGCGGGCACAGCACAGAGCTGGACAGGAGGCTCTGTCCCGTGGAAGGGCTGGTGCTCGCACGCTGGCTCAGCACGCTCTGCATCCCCGAGGAACAGGAGCAAACGGCAGACAAAGCGGGAGACGGCAGAGCCTTAAGCGCCGGCCTGAAATCCGCACGGGCTGCGGTGCCCGTCCCGGCACCCACACAGACGGAGCCGGCCCCTGGCACCCCGCGGCTCTGTGCAGACGCTTCTGGAAAGGAACGTGCCCTGCACAAAGCAAAACCTAGGAAGAAAGAAAGGTGCGCACGGCAGCCCTTGTTAAGAACAACGAGCCGGAGCATCCCGCCGTTTGAATTTGGACCAGCTCAAGGGAGACAGTCAGGCCCTTCCACGTCGGAAGCGCTCTTGATCACTGCAGAGGGCCTCACGCCTCAGGAAACAGAGAGTGGCTTAACAGGCCAGGAAGCAGAGGCAGGGGTCGCAGGAGAGTTTTCTCCAGAGCCGTCACCTTACTCCAGCATGCACTTGCCTGCGAGTGAAAGGAGGGAGAAAGAACCTGAAGCTGCAAGTGGAAGAAAAGAGCATTCCCGAGAAAGTCCAGGGGAGGCGCGTCCAGCGTCTAACTTACATTTTCCGATGGATGGGATTCAGATTAAGCTGCCCTGGGAGACCTCACGGGAGAGCCCCGCAGACCAAGCCCCCAGCGCCAGAGGAGCGGGCTTGCTCCCCATGGAAAAAGCGGGGCGGCTGGCTCAGACAGACCGGACGTCCGCAAAGTCAGCATGTCGCTCTTCTAGAGAGCTGTTGCAGGGGAAGATGGCACGCAGAACTCGGGCACTGGAAGAAGTGGTGAGGACTGTGGATTACACCCCAGTGGCACGAGGAATCGGCTCACTTATCATAGGAGGACGAGGACAGAGAGAAAAGTGTGTGCGCGAGGTGCTCCTGAAGCCTGTGTCTGGCTCCAAAGCAGGCCTCCTGCGATGTCACACCCCAGCGCAACAAGCTACGTTAGCAGGTGCTGTGATGGTGAGCTGGGAGCCCGCACTACCACAGCGGAAAAGAGTATTAAAGGGCGTAAACGTTACATTTGGCTGCACTCAAAAACATGCAAAAACACAGCCTTTCCCCAATCCTAGACAACAGCAGCAGCACCCACTTGTCCCCGCGGAGGCCCTTCCGGAGCATCTGTCTTACCCTCAGAATGATTCCTGGCTCCTGCCACACTTAATGGCTCTGACAAAGAAAATGTTAGCAGACATGAGCAGCGCGGCAAGCAGCACAAAAGCTCTAGCTTTGTCGAACGGGCACCAAGAGAAAGCTGCATGGGAGGGAAAAGCAGAAGGGGCCGTGTCTTCGAGGCCTGAGGTGCAAATGAAAACACAGAAGGCGAGGCTGCCTCTGGGCCCCAGCGAGGTCATAGAGCCTTTGAATGTTTGGTTTCCAAATGGAAAGAAATCGCTGGATGAGGCCCAGGAAATGGATGCCGTACCAAAAGGTGGCCCCCCCAGAGAGGGCCGGAGGAAGAAGCTGCGGTCACGCACGGGCGGTGAAGAGGCGCACAGCGAGGTCCGCCTGCTCGGGCTGTTCGTACATTCTCTGTCCCTCGGTCTGCCTGCTCTGTCCGAAAGCAGTAGACAGAAAGGCGGGGTAAACCCGGGGCTCAAAAAGGCCTTGTTCGGTCCCAGAACATGGAGGAGGAGACCTCTGGAGCTGACCAAGGCAGGGTTGGCACATGCTCTCAATGCCCCGGGCTCCCCGGGGCCAGGCCCGCTGTGGGGCCTCAAAGAGAAGCCAGGGAGGATGGCACACAGCAAACTTGATTTGGTTGTGACGAATATATATGAGTTCACCCCTCTGTCACCCCACCCTAGACGGAACCAAGCGACAGCTAGTGAACGGATCTCAAATAACGGGAAGAGAACAAGACAGCACACGGTGCCAGAAAAGAAGGATAGAATAAAAGGAGTTAAATTAACACTGCCACCCAACGGGAGAGAGTTGCCTGTGCTGTTGTGCACTATCAGGCAAGAAAGCCAGGCGCAGGGCCGCGGAAGGAACTCTGACGTGGGCACGAGAGCCCTGCGCTCTGGCCTGCCACCCCTGCCACGTCCTCACCTGAACACGCGAACACAGGTGAGGGGAGGTGAGCTGAGCAGGGCGAGGGGCTGCCTTCCACTGCCCAGCTTCCGGGCCTTGTCAAATACCGGGAAAACGTCATTTGCAGAGTCCGTTCATAGGGAGAGTTTAAGCAGTGTGATAGAATCAAAACCACATTGTGCACCGAGAAAAAAGGCAGGCAGAGAAAATGCAGCACAGGCGAATGGTATAACGCCCCGGGGGGTATCAGCTACCATGAGAATATGTGAGGAACCAACTGATGATATTCTAAGCAGCATTGTGAAAGCAAAGTATAGGCCACAGAAAGGTGGAGTGGAAATGAGTCTGGAAGAAATGTGGTGCAGAGGAGTGGCTTGGAAGGCGAGGCGGCCTGCATCTGCTCACCACTCACCGTGGCGCCTCACAGAGCAACAGAGAAAGACGCTGCGAGAGACACGCGGGAGCCTCAGGATCCAGAGCAAATCTTGTCCTTCCATCTCTTTCCTGCCTTACTTAGACATGATCAGAAGAAGAAAAGTGAAACGAAGAGACTCCAAGTCCTGTTATCTACAAGCTCAAATCCAGAAGTCATCTGACACAGGAAAAATAGCATGGAAGAGGCCTCTTCATGTTGACACTCCACAGAGTACCCAAAAAGCCAAAGAACATATAATTCAAGAACATGAGAAAACGGAAACAGCAAAAGCCTTACCTTTGAAGAAAAATACATCATCAGGGGCACAGGAAATCCAGTGGAGCATCCAAGAACAAGAGGAAAAGGCAGAGAAAGTGACCAGTACACCACGTGTGGTGCTGACCAACACCCGCACGCGCTCACCTGCTGCTTCCCACTTACAGCTGGACCCAAGCATCGAGAAAGTCGGCTGCGTAATTGAAATAACAAAGTACTCTCTTCCCAAAGGCTCACACAGGGGACGGAACGCAGCGAAAAAGGCAAATGAAGACCCCAGTCGGGGAGGTATTTCAAGCAGCGTGCAAGAAGCAACGGTGTGTCCGCCACGGGAAGAGGCCAGTGTGCAGCTCCCCGCCAAGGAAGACCCCTCGCACCCGGAGGACCAAGGTCTGCAGCACCGGGAAGCACCTCCCCAGGGTCTCCTGCCAAGCAGTCCAGAGCCGGACGGGAGGGGTCCTGGAGGCGCAGGGCAGGGGAGACCTGGCGGGACAGGTGGCGGGGAGCAGGGAGCGGGGCTGCCCCCCGCTCTGGCTTCTCAGTCTCCTCTGGCTCATTATGAACCGGGCAGAAGAGCAGGGGGAAAGGAGGACGTAGGAGAAGTAACAGGACCTGCCCTTGCACAAGGGCAGCCACAGCAGCCCCCCGGTGGAGGGGAAAGGGCACCAGCCAAGCCCGCCGGGGATGATTCAGGCCATATAAAAAGGGCGCAGGAGCACAGGCCACAGAAGGCAGAAGCCAGAGGAGCCACAGACGACATAACATCTGTAACGCACCCCCAAGGGGCAACTTCCAGGCCAAAGATACTGCCACTTCCTCCGGCACTCAGATCCCCTGAGGGCCCTGCCCCCCCAGTTGGCGCACAGAGGAACACCCAAGACAGAGGAGGACACGTGTGGGGAAGGAAAGGCGAACCAGACGGGGTGCCCACTCCGCCCCCAGCTCAGCTGGAGGTAAGCAAGGGTGTCGGAGGCCAGGGAGGGCACCGAGGCCGAGCAAGACCCGCCGGGCCCCCCTCGTGGCACAGGAAGTCGACAGATGCAGTGTCCCCGTGGCTCGCTACCCCAAGGGACTGGGAAAGAGCAGAAGACCTGGCCCAGGAGAGGCAGGGTGACGCACGTGTCCTCGAGGGCGCTGTGGCGCGGCCCACGTCTGTGGCGCTGAGGGCAAAGCCAGCGCCCCTTCCCCGTATACTGGAAACGGAGACGCTGCACGTGAGCGTCACGGAGCCCGTGACAGGGGGGCTGGCAGGTGGCAGGGTCGAGGTCGTGGTTCTGAGCAAAATTTGCCCTTTTCTCGCCTTTTCGACTGACCTTCACCTGGACACCATAAATGAGGACACAGGTGGACCGGGAGCTAGCAGCGCCGCGTCCCATCGTGGGCTCCCAGAATCACCGGAATATCCACCCCCGGGGCAGACTGTGCCTGCAGCGCCAGTGGCTGGGCGCGCGCAGAGCGGAGACCGCCGGCCAGAGAAGGGAAAGCGCCCAGCGCTCCCCCATGGCGATGGCGCCCACTTCCAGGCAGGGGCGTCGCGGCCCCCTCCCGTGTTGAGTGCCTCTGAGCACTGCGCCCTGACCAAGGGCAAGAAGGCCGAGGGCGTCGGGGAGAAGGCAGAACAGGAGCCAGCGAGGGCGGAAGAGCCCCACGTGCTGCTGACTCAGGCTCCTGCGGCGCCTTGCCCCGCTCGCCAGAGGGTGGCGGTGAGCCGTGAAGCGTGGGTTGCAAATACAAGATTCTCTGTATCCTCAGAGCTCCCCAAGCCATCAGGTGCAGGGGAGACCAGAAATGCAGGCCCCAGAGAAGGCATTAGCTCCTGTGACTGGACAGTAAAAGCTATTCGATGCTTGTCCTATGAAAAGGCAAAGGACGGAGACAAAATAAAAGAGGAGAAAGGTGGAATGGTTTCCAGAGCAATGAGTTGGAGAGCAGAGAGAGCCCCGTCCTCACGTCAACCCAGCAGAGTCCCTCCCACTGGTAAAGAGCCAGACAAAGGCATTCTTAGCCGAGGAGGCAAGGCAGGGGGGCTGCCGGCAGAGAGCGGGGCTTCTTTCCCACCCCCTTCTTCCCTGAACCGGGACACTGGGGTGGAGGAAAGGGACTTACTAGGGCCGGCAAAAGGCTACTTCCCACCAGTGAAGATTCAGGATCCGTGCAGTGTGGGCTTAAGAGCAGGGGTCAAGTCATCTGATTGCAGCGTGTTAAAAGGGAAAGACAGAAGGCAAGCAGATGTCGAGGAGAAAATCCTCCCCGGGCACGTGGACCTGAAGGCCAGGAAATTCTCCCTCACACATGCGCTCCGTGCCCGAGCGTTGCAGTGGGGAAGTGAAGAGCGAGAGCGTACGATGCAGGAAGATAAAACACCGGTCGTGGGTCTGGACAGCATCTGTGCTTCTTTAGCTACTCTGCCGTATTTTAAATGCGACATAACAGGAGAGCGGTACACGTTAAGAATAGCAAAGCTGCCCCTCTCTCAGCCGCCCTTCAAGCCGTCATCAGATGCAGAGAAAACAGCTCGCCCACCTGCTACTGGTGCGGAAGCTTCCAGCGACCTGCAGGAACCAGGAGAGCACCCGCTGCAGAAAGAAGAGAAGGGCCGTGAGGAGAACACAGGCAGGAGGCACACGGCAGAACCCAGGGGTGCAGGTCCGCGGGCAAGGAAGCCCCCCGTTTCACTTACGTGGAGTCGGAGCACCCTGCAGACAAGTGAGGGGCCAGAGGGCCGGGTTCCGGCAGCCGAACGGGAGCCGGGCAGGGTCGTGCCGGCTCACACCTGTGCTTCTGGAGCGCGCCCGCTTCCCCTGCCTGGGAGTCCCGGCATGGAGCTCGGAGGCGGGCTGGGACCAACAAGACCCTGCTCCTCCTGCACGAGCTTCCAGGAGTCATCAGAGGCTGGGAGAGTAGAACAGGCAGAGCCAGAGACTGGTGATACTTCAGTCCCCCCACACCAAGGAGAAGGATGCGCACCCCAGAGCAGGGCAGGGGAAGGCAAGGGCCTCCTGCTTCCCAGACCTCCCAGAAAGAAGACGCGCAAATGTCAGGCTGAAGCAGGTGTGGTTCTGACCACGCCCAGCTCGCGGTTGTCCAGCCCTCACCTCAAGGTGGATAAAGGAACCCAAGTGGAGGCTGACCTGCCAAGCCCTGGCAGAACCACAGAGGCGGGGGAAGGAGTCCCCTCGGAGCCAGCGAGGGGAAGTGCCACGAGGGCTGTTCAAAATGAGGAGCGCCGGGAGCCCCAGAAAGAGAGGGGTGGAGAAAGAGCCGCCCACCGGAGAGGGGTGACCCACTGCACGCGGGTCACCTTGAGGTCCACGGAGCTGCCGCGCTCGGCTGTGCTGCACCGGACAGAGCTGCACCTGCATATCCCGCCGCGTAGGCAGACGCAGCACCAAGGTCCAGGCAAGGCCCCTGGCCCCGCGCCGACGCTCGTGTGTGTCTCCAGGCCTCCCCCAAGGAGCCTGCTGTCGGGTAACGGCACACAGGCGGGCCACGAGAGACCTGGGGTCCGGAGGCCGCCCCCGCGGGCACCCTCGCCTCCAGCGTGGCCAGACGCAGAGCCCTCAGCAGGCCCAGAGGCTCGGGGGGGCGACGTGAGGGAGGGCAGGCGGCAGCCACAGGCCCAGTGCCACCTGCGGACCGTGGCCGTGAACATCAGGGTGCGCTGCCGGCAGGCGGGGGCCGCTCCGGTGTCTCGGATCCTCGGGGCGAAGGCGCTGATGCTGAACGTGAACGTGCTGACGGGGTCCAGGCACACAGGGGACCCCGAGCCCCGGGCCTTTTTGACCAGGGCTTTCCTTTGCACCCCGGCGGCAGCGTCCCTTGATCTGGAACTGGGGAGCAGAGTGAACGCAGCAGCCGCCAGGCTGACAGGAGCCTCTGGTCCTCAGAGGACGCTCCCAGAATCACCCCGCGCCCAGAAAGCAGAACCCGGAGAGGCGGCTGATGGCCACCGCGAGCTGGGGGCTGAAAGCGGGGAGCCCTCGGGGAGGGGGCGCGAGGCCCCGCGGCGGTGGGCCTCGGACTTCCTCATCTGCCTGCGGGGAGGGGAGCGGCCTCCGCAGGTCACGTCCAGAGGGGACGCGCGCCAGTTGGCTGTAGACTCTCAGGACGAGGAGGTTTATTTGACAGGGTTCGGCACCCTGAGTATCGGGAGAAGGCTCGAATGTCTCTTCACCGGGCAGGAGGCTCAGTCGGGAAAGTATGGAACAGAAGCCCGTAGTACCTCGCATCCCTGCCCCGCCACGGAGCCCACGAGCGGGCAGAAGCGGGAGGAGGAAGCGGCAGCCGAGCGTGACTCGGGCCACAGAGCAAGGGCGGAGGGCCCCCCTTCACAGCCGAGGGGGGACCCCGGCTCCGGCTCCCCCGTCGGCTCCAGGCCCCGTCCGCGCCCAGAGCCAAACGCCCAACCCCAAGGGAGTTTACCCAAAGCGGCTCTCGGGCCTGCGGATTCAGGCTCAGGTCCACACACCCCAGAGGCGGAGGGACACAGGGACAGCAGAGTGAGGACCTCGCCTCGGGGGTCCCCTGAGGACGCGAAGGCGGCGGAGGCGCGCGGCGCCCCCCAGAAGGAACGCAGCGCCCCCGAGAAGGAAGGCCCAACCGTGCTGGCAGACACAGCGCAGCAGCCGCGGGGAGGTGGACCCCAGCCCGGGCGGAAGGCCAGCCGCCCGCTTACGTGGCCACCCCCAAATGGGACGCAGAACACACCGCCGCGGACAGACGCCTGCGAGCAAATGTCGCTGTGCCCCGGCGCGCGGCTGCTGCCCGGCACACAAGTGGGCGGCACAGCGCTGGGCCGCGTGAGCAGGGGCTGCGGGCAGCGCTGGAGCGCCTCGGAGCTCCAGGCGTCCGCCCTCACTCGGCTCCAGGACCTGCTGACACCCTGCTGGGCGTTTTCACTTCCAGGAGCAGGTCAGGTGGGGGAAACTGAGGGCGGCACTCGCAGCCTCCCGCACCTGGAGCGAAAGCCAGTCAAAACGGGGAAAGGGAAGTTCAAGCAAGGTGCCCCCGTGGCTGGGCGTCTGCAAGAGGAAAACCCCGGAGAGGTCAGTCTGAAGGAGGAGAAACTCAGAAAGGGCAGAAGCCAGAAAGCTCCCGCCCGCCAGGCAGCGAAACCCCCAGCACAGACCCAGACCCAGGCCCTGGCCCGGCTGGGGAAAGGCTGTGCAGGGAAGCAAAACCACGGCCAGGAGCAGGGAGGGCCCCCCGCCAGCCCAGGCGCGCAGCCCCCAGTGCTGCTTCCCAGGCAGGTTCTGGACTCCTTCTATGCCTACGTTCCCCTCCCTCCCAAATTTGAGGGCTGGAGGGGCAGAGTGACGGTGGCAGATTTGAAAAGAGAACTGAGCCCCGAATATTTAGCCGTCAAAATTCCACATCACCCAGTGCCGCAGATCCTGGGCGACTTGGGCCGCGGCGCTCCGGGCCACAGGATGAGACTGGAGTATGACTTCACCAAGCCCCAGGTCTTCTTGTGGCACGGAGGTGCCTCGGCAATAGCCATCCGAAGCCTCTCTGTTGCCATGCTGAGGCCACCTCAGATGAAAGACATGAAGGCGTCTGAGAGAAAGCAAAGACGAGGGCAGAGGGTGGGTCTCTCGGAAGCCCCGGGGAGACCAGCAAGCACTCGGGAGGCCACATGGGGCAGGGGGGGCTGCTCCAGCATCATGGAAGCCGGGGGCCCGGGGGCCCCAGGTAGCACCCCGCAAGAGTCGCAGCCCTTCCCGGTGCCTGAGTGGCGAATGCAGAAGCCCCCTGGAGTCAGATCAGAAGCCAGCAGGGAGAGTGGGAGCCCTGTAACCCCACAAACAGAAGACAGGGCTGCTCCGGGACACGGTCTCCTAACACGCACCGAAGAGCCGGGCTCGCTCGCGACGGAACAAGAAGAAAAAGCACCAGAGTCCATTCCCACACCCACAGAGTCTCCGTTCCCAGCCGAAGCTGCGAGGGAAAGGCCCAGAAGCTGTGTGCAAAGTACCCAAAGTGTGAGCCTCCCCCCGCCCTCAGAAGCGGCACCAGGGGGTTCTCCGCTGGGCCACATCTCGGGGTGTACCTCACCCCCGGAGCCCTGTCTGCCGGGTCCCACCCCAGACTCGGGCACATCAAAGGTGCAGAGCCCAAGGAGCTTTCCAGAACCTGTGCCTGCCCCATACCAAGTTGCAAGCAACAAGGCGGAGCGAGTAGCCAGGGCACCTGCTGCAGGAGAAAACCTCGCTCCCCTTTTTGAAGCCATTAAAAATATGCTTGAATCCCAGATGGAACGTATGATTCAAGACAAAGTGTGTGCCGAGGTCCTGAAGCAAGTCAGAGCCCACAGCGCCGGGGCTCGGGAGCCGCCGTCCTCGGCAGAGCTAGACCCAACCTTCCGGGCACGTCCCGAAGGGCGGCCAGAAGCCGTTCTAGACCGCGTCACTGCCAGAGAAAAGAGGAAGCTCACCGGTGACTTAAAATCCAAAGCGCGAGAAAGGAAAGGGAATCTGATACCAGCGAGGGTGAGACAGTCCTCCCAGAAGTTCAGCCGCCATCCAGAAGGACTTCTCTTAGGGGACAGCGGTGGGAGGTGGCGTCCGGGGCGCCCAGGCCTTCCGGCCGCCGGGGGGCCGGACACTGCCACGGAGCTGAGCCTGGGACACAGGTCTCCAGGAGAGGCCACTGCCAACCGCGTGAGGAATCTGACTGGTGGGGATGCCAGAGGCAGCACGAAGATCCTCACCATGCTCAGGAGCGTCCCCCCACCGCCAAGGAGGGCCTTTTCGGCCCCTTTTGTCGAAGAGAGGCCGTTGGCTCATGTTCTCCAAAAGCTCTCCATCCAAGAGAGAGAGAGACTCCTCGTCCATTTTTCAATGAGAACGTTGGCGATGCAAGTGAAATCCCTCCCCAGGATGGTGGAAGACTCTCACGCCATGGCCAGCGCCCAGGACCAGAGGAGACCGCCATCGAGGTGCATCTGTCCTGCTGTCAGAGAGCCGAACCGCCAAAAGAGAATTGTGCTGCTGTTTGAGGAAAAGTCTCTTCACCAAATAGATCTTGATTTGCAGTACAAATACCAGCGCTTCCTCCTGGGGCTTCCGGAAGAGAGAACGTTCCCTAAGTCAAAGGCATGTCCCAGATGCAGTCCCAGGCCAAACCCAGCTGCCAGAGGTAGAGAAGTAGACTGCGGTGGGGAAAGCGCCCGTCTTTGTGCTGGTGCAGCGGCGTCAGGGAAACACTTCTCTTTTAAAGAGCAGAGTCCCCCTGAGCAGGCGGCGTCCATCAGGAAAGTTCTGGAGCTGGCTCCCAAGCATGCTTCTGACCCTGGGTGCCCTAGCACAGCCCAGACAGATAGGGCCATTCCTCCGAAGGTGAAGTTCACCGTGACCTCAGAAAAAGAGAAAAAATGTCACGTGTGGTTTCAAGAAACAGATGCCTGCAACCCTTTTGCCTCCAAGCTCCTGACTGCTGCTCCTCGTGGAGTGGACGCCTGTCCCGCTCAGCTGGCTGAGGGCTGCGCGGATGGTCTGAAAGCCATGGGGAACCCCACCGACCTGGACGAGTGCCCGTCCCGAGAAGTACGTGAGAATGAAGAGTGTGCGTTTGGGGAAGTCAACCGTTGCTTACGTCGGGAAGCAAGACACACGCCGCGTGGGGCACAGAAAGGCACCCCACTGCAACGCCTGCCCAGGGTGGAAAAGAGCAAGTCGTCACTGCCCAGTGAGGCCTGGGCTTCCTGTCACACCAGAGGCTCTAAAAAGCACACCTCAAGTGGAACCCCACCTTCCTGTGGCTCCCGCCAGAGCAAGACCAGTGCCCCCCACGGGCTGTGCGGGGGCTCCCTGAACACCCGCCACAGTGACAGCGTAACTTCTGGGCCATCCTCCTCGTCCTTCTGTGAGGGGGAGCTGTGCCCGGCGACAAGAAGCGAGACAAGTCACTCTTTGTTTCCCTTAACGAAATCCAATATTAAGTTGCATCTTGCAAAAAGCCAAAGCCGACTTCACAGACATTCAGAACGCAAAGAACGAAAGAAAGCCAGGTCGGGCTCGCAGAGCACGAACCCGTCTCAGGACTGCGAGCCCAGCGCGGCCCACGGCAAGCTCAGCGAAGAGCCGCACCCCAGAAGGAGGCCGGGGGAGGCCAGGGACGACCCGGCGGAGAGATGCGATCGCTTCCTGAGCAGACAGCCACCAGCTGCAGACACGCGCGCAGAGGAGGCCAGCCTCCACTCGGACAGAGACCAGGGCCCCCCGTTTTTTTATGCCTGTGTCCCTGCAGACTCCCTGGAGATTATCCCCAAAACTGTTCGCTGGGCTATACCCCCCGAAGGCTTAAGGAAGAGAAATGTCAGGCTCCCCTTGGTGGCCAAGGTTTCCAGTTCTTGCGATCTCTTTAGTTCATCTAAAAACTTGCTGGAGTCCTTCATGGAGTCGTTCAGCCTCGTCCCCCAGAACTGACGGCGCCACAACCGAGTGACTGAAGAGGGGCGGGGGCGTGTGTGGGGGGTTCTCTGATAAATAAAGTGACGGAAAGCCATGTGGTTCTGCACCTGAACAAGGTTCCTGGGAGGACCAGGCCAGATGCCCGGGCTTCGGTCCCGCCGCGCGTGGCCTCTGCTTTTAGTTCACCCCGAGAGAGCGCGAAAGACGGGGAAGCCTCCTTCCACCCCTCCCCGAGGAAAGGGTGTCGGCAGAGGCATAGCCTGTACATGAGGTTGGGTGCCAGGGACGAGAAGGGAGAGGGCAGAGCTGTGAAAGGGGGAGCGTTTCAAAAGCAGTGGGGGCTCAGTAGGGTCAAAGGTCACAAAAAGGGAAGGCACTGGTTTGAGAACCCAAACCCTTCTGAGTCCTGTGTCCTCATCCCCAGTCTCAGGTAGTACCAGCAGCAGCCTGATGACCTGTACCCCCACCTCCATTGCAGGCTTGCAGTAGCTGGGGAGTCCCTAGACCCCCTGGGAGCATTCTGGGGGGGGGGAGCATAACCATAACCATGCACAGGGGCCGAGCTCGGAGCATCCTTGCCGCACCATCTCTCCTGCAGCCAGGTGCTTCTCGGCCCTGGCAGGGGGCGGGGCAGCATGCTCACCTGTCGGCCCAGGTCACCTGTCACGTGCCAGGTTGTGTCCTGGGGACTGGAGCTAACAAAAATAAGCACAACACAATCTGGCTGCATTAAAAAGTTGTGGTACATATGCACAGTGGAACACTACTCAGCAATCAAAAAAGAGAAACCCACAACCTTTGCAGCCACATGGATGGAGCTGGAAGGGATCATGCTTCGTGAACTAAGCCAGAAAGAAAAGGAAAAATGCCGGATGCTTTCACTCATAGCAGGAGTATAAAGGATCAGGGTTGTGGGGGGTTATAATGAACAACTGTATACCGGAGACATTTTACAGGGATGGAGTGGGGGTCAAAAGTGGGGGCACTATGGTGATGGCACACGGGCTGTTTGGTGATGGGAAGCCCACGGGGATTACAACTGAGATGGAAAAGGCACAAAATGATGTAAAAATAAACTATAAAAAAGATACAGTTTGGACATGGAAGGTCTAACTCACAAGTCCAGAAGAAGCCATCACCGTACTCACCACCACTATTACCACTATCATCACCATCATCACCATCCTCCTCCTCATCACGTCATCACCATCACCATCACCACCATTCTCATCACCACCACCGTCATCACCACCACCACCACCAATACCGTCATCCACTTCTAGTGTTTACTGGGAGGACAAGCAACAACCTTGACATATTACTGACAGATCCACAGTAAGTCCTGCAGCCACACCAGGTGGCATCACTCCGATGCCCACAGCCGGGTCTCCAGGCCTAATTCAGGTCCTTGTCCTTTGCCTCCCCAGCCGCCTCTGCTTTCCTGTTTCACGTTGCTGCCCTAGGAGACAGGCAGATATCATGATCCCCTTTTTGCTGATGAGGAAATGGCACAGCATGCGTTGCCAGGTGCCTGAGTGCTGAGCTCAAGCAGGCTCCTGGCTCAGCCCCAGAGCGTCCCACGATCTCGCAATCAAACCTCAGACGATGGGGGAGCTGCCCAGTGCCGGCCCCATCTGGCTCCTGAGCCCTGATGTCTGCAGCCCCTGGTGGTGCCTTCAACTTTTCTTGACTAAGATCCATTCCCCAGAGCTGCTGGGGACATATCCCAGAAGTCCATTCAGAGCCCAGTCACGGAGTGCCTGGTCCTGGCCGCTGCTGGCTGGGTTTGATTTCTGCAAGCACAGATTAGGTCGGGGTGCTTCAGGGAGCTGTGTTCTTTGCAAAAGCGGATGGCAGCTCCTTGGCCGGCTGCTTTGCCAGCTGGGTGAACTACGCTGTGAAGCAGGTGCTCTTTATAGCTCCGTAGATGCTAAGGCGATAAGCTGCCCCTCTCGGAGTCTTGGAGCTCCAGACGGCTGAGCCACTTGGGCTGGCCCAGCTCGTTCCTCGCCCGTGGGTTCCACGATGGATGGGCGTCTCAGCTCCGAGGGGCAGCCCAGGCACCAGGGAGAAGGACCGAGCACCCCAGATGGCTGGGAAGAGGAGCAGCTCCAGAAAGATGGCACCGGGGGACCCCCAGGAGGTAACCCCCTTCCTAACCTCAACACCCTCTAGTTGTTCATGTGGTAATGGCATTTTCCATTGACTTCAAGGGTGGCGTCCATTTGCTTTTAACTCTAGATTCATGTTTTTTGTTGAGGTGTAATTGACATATAATGTCACCCTGGTTTCAGAGGACAACAAGGGCTGACTACTTGTGTGTACCCGGAGGTGGTCAGCAGCATAACTCTAGTTAACAAGATTTCTCCCTTCACGAAGCTGAGTAGAAAATGCCTAAGCATTGCATGCAAAGAAAGCCTTCGCTTTAATCACTTACTTGCAAGTCCACAAGTTGTTTTACTATGAACAAGTTGTTTTACCACGTGCGTGAATCTGGGATTGTTCTTTTTTTGCAATAGTGACTTTTGAAAAGAACGAAGTGTAGAGTCTGCCTGCTTTTCACCTACACCCTGGCACTGTCTCTCTGGAGTCAAGCCCCTTAAAACAAAGTGCATTTCCCAGTGGGGCAGTTTAGGGGGGCCGTTCTGGTTACAGACTCAGTGGTAATGCAGAAGACACAACAAATGGCCCCTTAAAAGCTATTTTATGGCATTTAAATGTCTACGATCATTTCAAGCTGTTAACATCACTGCATTAAATCAGGATGTTGCTTATTTTCACTGAACTGTTTACCTAAAATGCAACTCTACCTATCTCTAAAATATGATTTGTCGAAACTTCAGGATCGAATGAAAATATAGCGTGCATTTCTAATGTTTCTTTATCTCTGTAAAACTTAAAAGGGTCTTGGGAGAATATTGATATTTCTTTACGATGCTGCTAGGGACGCATAGGTGTCGGTTTGCTATTTGTTACTTGTCAGTCTGTGAAATGATGAGCCGCTCAAAACCAGCCTTTGGCGTTTCCTACAATCTTAAGAGAAAAACGAGCGCCCAGATGGTGGGAGGAGGGCGGGAGCGTCTCTGGGCGACAACTCCTGGGTGGACCCTCAGCGGGCCTGGCGGTTCCCACTCATGGACTCCCCGACTCCCGGGGCACCGTGCTCCCCAACTCCCAGGGCACCATGCTCCCTGACTTCTGGACCCCCTGATCTGCACTAGCTCCTGGATCTCTGGATTCGTGTGAGTTGGTGGTTAAACATCACGATGGCTAAAAATGAAGTTACATAAACTTACAACAGACAAGGCCTTATAATCAATCCCTGTTTTTTATAGGGAAAGGGATAAAACCAACAGAGTAAATGCGGTTTGTCAGCACTGTTTGACTTCTGTGACGGTGTTCTGAGGACCCCCCACAGGGTCCATGTGGGGGTACTGCGTGCTGGCGAGCAGAGGCACTAGCTCCAACATCAACCGTACACGCCGGCCTTCTCCCTCACTCAGGCTCGCCCACTCACCTGCACGCCTGGGTCAGTTCCTGACTCCTTACAGTTGCCAAGACAGAGCTCAGCCCTGACCCCTGTGCGGGGCGCCGGCCCTTTGGTCAAACTGGGCCCTGGGCTTATACAGTCTGAGCCTTCAGTCTCCATTCTCAGAGGAAGGCGACGGCCGCCCATCTCCTTCCTGCCCTCTCCAGCAGCAGCAACTCAGCACTGACTGTGCTAGCAGGGTCTTGCATGCGCAGTGAAGCTCCAGGGGTCTGGACACTGGTTTTTTGGCCAGGTCAGAGGCTTCTCTATCAGAACTGTGGCTAAGAATGGCTTTCTCGGGCCCCCATTATG